GGGTCTTGCTTCATGATTCTGCACGTGGAAATCCAATTTTCCAGCACATTTATGAATAGACTGTCCTTGCTCCAGGAATTAGTTTTAGATCCTTGATCAAATATAAGTTGGCTGTAGATGTTGGGTTGATTTCTGGTGTTTCAATTCTGTTCCATTGGTCTATCCATCTGTTTCTGTACCAGTACCATGCTGTTTTAATTACAACTGCCCTGTAGTATGTCCTGAAATCTGGTATTGTGATGCCTCCGGCTTTGTTTTTGTTGTACAAGATTGCTTTAGCTATTCGAGGTCTCTTGTGCCTCCATATAAATTTCAGCACCATTTTTTCCAGATCTGAGAAGAAGGTCTTCGGTATCTTGATTGGTATTGCATTGAATCTGAAATTACTAACAGATATATACAGAACTTTCAATCCTACAGCTAAAGAGTTTACATTCTTCTCAGCAGTACATGGAAGCTTCTCTAGGATTGACCACATACTAGGCCATAAAGCAAGTCTCAGCAAATTCAAAAGAATTAGAATCATACCATGCAGCTTCTCAGACCATAAAGGAATGAAGTTGGAAATTAGCAACTCAGGAATCCCTAGAGCATACGCAAACACATGGAGATTGAACAACATGCTCCTGAATGAACAATGGGTCATAGAAGAAATCAAAAGAGAAATCAAAAACTTTCTGGAAGTAAATGAGGATAACAGCACAACATACCAAAACTTATGGGACGCAGCAAAAGCAGTGTTAAGAGGAAAGTTTATATCAATAGGTGCCTACATCAAGAAATTGGAAAGACACCAAATAGATGAGCTTTCAATTCACCTCAAGGATCTAGAAAACCTACAGCAAATCAGACCCAAATCTAGTAGGAGAAGAGAAATAATTAAAATCAGAGAAGAAATCAACAGGATTGAATCAAGAAAAACATTACAAAAAATCAGCCAAACGAGGAGCTGGTTTTTTGAAAAAATAAACAAAATTGACACCCCATTGGCCCAACTAACTAAAAAAAGAAGAGAAAAGACCCAAATCAATAAAATCAGAGATGAAAAAGGAAATGTAACAACAGACACCACAGAAATAAAAAGAATCATCAGAAATTACTACAAGGACTTGTATGCCAGCAAACAGGGAAACCTATCAGAAATGGATAGATTCCTGGACACATGCAACCTGCCTAAATTGAACCAGGAAGACATCGGAAACCTAAACAGACCCATAACTGAGACAGAAATTGAAACAGTAATAAAGGCCCTCCCAACAAAGAAAAGCCCAGGACCAGATGGATTCACTGCTGAATTCTACCAGACGTTTAAAGAAGAACTAACTCCAATTCTTCTCAAACTATTCAGAACAATCGAAGAAGAGGGAATCCTCCCAAATTCTTTCTATGAAGCCAGCATCACCTTAATCCCTAAGCCAGAGAAAGATGCAGCACTGAAAGAGAATTACAGACCAATATCCCTGATGAACATAGATGCAAAAATCCTCAATAAAATCCTCGCCAATAGAATGCAACAACACATCAGAAAGATCATCCACCCAGACCAAGTGGGATTTATCCCTGGTATGCAGGGATGGTTTAATGTGCGCAAGACAATCAATGTGATACACCACATTAACAGACTGCAGAAGAAAAACCATATGATTCTCTCAATAGATGCCGAGAAAGCATTTGATAAAATATAACACCCGTTCATGATGAAAACTCTAAGCAAACTGGGTTTGGAAGGAACATTCCTCAATACAATCAAAGCAATCTATGAAAAACCCACAGCCAACATCCTATTGAATGGGGAAAAGTTGGAAGCATTTCCACTGAGATCTGGAACCAGACAGGGATGCCCACTCTCACCACTGCTATTCAATATAGTTCTGGAGGTTCTAGCCAGAGCTATTAGGCAAGAAAAAGAAATTAAAGGGATACAAATTGGGAAGGAAGAACTCAAACTATCCCTCTTTGCAGATGACATGATTCTGTATTTAGGGGACCCAAAGAACTCCACTAAGAGACTATTGGAACTCATAGAAGAGTTTGGCAAAGTAGCAGGGTATAAAATCAATGCACAAAAATCAACAGCCTTTGTATACACAGACAATGCCATGGCTGAGGAAGAACTTCTAAGATCAATCCCATTCACAATAGCTACAAAAACAATCAAATACCTTGGAATCAACTTAACCAAGGACGTTAAAGATCTCTACGATGAAAATTACAAAACCTTAAAGAAAGAAATAGAAGAGGATACCAAGAAATGGAAAAATCTTCCATGCTCATGGATTGGAAGAATCAATATCATCAAAATGTCCATTCTCCCAAAAGCAGGGCCATATTTTAACTAATAATAGTAGTAATCATTACTTAACTGGTGTGCTATTACCCTTTATCACAATGTAGGTATGGTCTCAGAGCTGTCACTCCAGGGTGATGTATGGATGCAGGTTGTGGGGATTCTACAGTTCTTTTCACTTTTGCAGGCTCCAACTCCAGAACTCCTGCGTGTTTAAAGTTATTTGCTTTCTGTCTATCATCCCTTCCTACTCCTCCCTCCCTACAGGTAGGAGAATTGAGGTCAGCCTTCATTTGACACAAAATGTTTTCACCTACGGAGTCTTGAAGGCTGTTTAAGAGTCTGAATCTATTTAAATCAACAAAATATTTCTGTTTTTCTTGTAGGAAAAACGCAAAGCTGAGGAAGCTCTCACTGATCTCAGACGTCAGTATGAAACAGAAGTAGGGGATCTGCAGGTGACAATAAAAAAACTAAAAAAGGTAAGGATGTAGTAGCCGAACTTTCAGGAACAGCCTCAGTATCAACGAGTGTTTCACGCAATGACTAAAAAATTTGAAATTGCATTGAGGTGGCAGATAGAATCAGATTCCAGAGTCAAGCTGACTTCTTACTAAGATTTTTTTTTAAGGGTACTTGAGTTTCCCCTCCATTTCCAGAGGCTACCTAGCTTTTCCATAGATTTAAAAAATGTATCTGATCCCTTGAAGAGTTGTCCATCAAACCCCACTTTGATTCCTTTGATTTGCATCAACCAGATACCCTTCAGTCCCCTTTGCCGAGTGCACTGCACACTTCTTGACAGTGTGTGGCACGGTCTCTCTTGGTCGTGTGCTTCTGTTCTCCTACTCCTAGTTAACTGATAGCTCGTCTGTGAATATTAGTCACATAATGCATATTGCTCCTTTAAGAAGAAAGCCCCAGACCCAAGGGACCCCTTCTGATCAGCCGGAGACAGGGAAGAACTTGCCGAGGTATCCGCAGAGGTGTGATCTGGTTTGGGCTTTGGCGGTTTCATTCAGTCATGTGCTATCAGACATTTAACAAGTGACTCGGAAGTGGGATGCAGAGAGATGAGAGGGATTTCTAAAGTTTGCTGATTTCCATGGTATCAAAGACTCCCACCATTATTAATTTCACACTACCAAGTTGACAAGACTAAATGCAGAACTGGGAAGAGATGCTAACTTAGATAGATGCTCACCACTGGTACAAGTTGTTTCCAGTACAGTATTCCACTCCATTGTTACACGTGGGCTGTTTGCATACCTAGTAGTTAAAATGAAAACAGGTATTTTTTTTTTTTTTTGACAGGCAGAGTGGACAGTGAGAGAGAGAGAGACAGAGAGAAAGGTCTTCCTTTTGCCGTTGGTTCACCCTCCAATGGCCGCCGCGGCCGGTGCGCTGCGGCTGGCGCACCGTGCTGATCCGATGGCAGGAGCCAGGAGCCAGGTGCTTTTCCTGGTCTCCCATGGGGTGCAGGGCCCAAGCACTTGGGCCATCCTCCACTGCACTCCCTGGCCACAGCAGAGAGCTGGCCTGGAAGAGGGGCAACCGGGACAGAATCTGGCGCCCCAACCGGGACTAGAACCCGGTGTGCCGGCGCCGCTAGGCGGAGGATTAGCCTAGTGAGCCGCGGCGCCAGCCGGAAACAGGTAATTAAAAAACAATTGGTTTTGGCCGGTGCCGCGGCTCAACAGGCTAATCCTCCGCCTTGCGGCACCGGCACACCAGGTTCTAGTCCCGGTCGGGGCGCCGGATTCTGTCCCGGTTGCCCCTCTTCCAGGCCAGCTCTCTGCTGTGGCCCGGGAGTGCAGTGGAGGATGGCCCAAGTGCTTGGGCCCTGCACCCCATGGGAGACCAGGAGAAGTACCTGGCTCCTGCCATCGGATCAGCGCGGTGCCATTGGAGGGTGAACCAACGGCAAAAGGAAGACCTTTCTCTCTGTCTCTCTCTCTCACTGTCCACTCTGCCTGTGAAAACAAAACAAAACAAAACAAAAAAACCAATTGGTTCTGAATGTGACAGTAAGATTGAGTGACAATGAATTGTATTTTGCAAACTATTCTGAGTTAAACCTCTGGCAAGATTAAGAATTCTCCCCAATAGCCTTCTTGGAAAATTGTCACCAACGTCAACCTTATGTTGACTTTTTATACCTATATACTCTGCCCAGTCTCCTGCTTGTGCCAAAGCCAGATTCTGCAAGTCATTGGTTTTACTTATTCCTGTGGCTTCCAGGATCTTTAGACTAACACAGAGCTTCTTGCCCTGCTATCCTGACGTCATCTATGGTGAAAACCAAATGGCTCTGAACGGAGGCTGTGTGTCGGGAGTAACTGATGAGAACTGAGTCCTTGTTCAACCTGTAACGGTTTAAACCCTGCCTGCAGCTCCGTTCTGACCATTGTTAGTTTCTTATCTGTAAAAAAGGGGTTGATGATGAACTGTCCTGCCCAACTACAATAACTTGCATTTCATTAACTGTAGTTTGTTAAACTCTTTTTATAATTTAGAAAATTTAATTCTCAAACTTTCTCCCAGGGAGGTATAAATATCCTACTTTTACAGATATTGAGTTCCAGAGAGGTTGAGCAACTTCTTCAAAGTCACACAGCCAGTACCCCGTGGAGTTGTCTTACTGCAGTTTGTGCTTTCATACTTATAGTAGACTTCGTGCCTGCCTGATGTGGTTCTTATGCAAAACAGTATGATGATTTATGACAGTATGTTAAAGAGTGTTAACAACCCTAAAAAAGTTTACCAAAATTGATTACATTTGCCAATAACATATGCCACTTATTCTGAGAAATCCATTTTTTTAAAAAAGATTTATTTATTTCGATGGCAGAATTACAGAGAGAGCAAGAGAGAGAGATTTTCCATCTGCTGGTTCACCCCCCAGATGGCTGCAGAGCCTGGGGCTGGCCCAGACAGAAACCAGGAACCTAGAACTCCATTGAGTCTCCCACTTTGGTGTCAAGGGCCTAACTCCTTGGGCCATCATCTGTTGCTTTCCCAGGCACATTAAAAAGAAACTGGATTGGAAGTAGAGCAGTAAGACTGCAACCAGTGCTTTTATGGGATGCTGGTGTTGCAGGCTACAGCATAACCCATTTTGCCACAGCAGTGACCCCAAGAAGTCAACTTTACTCACAGTTTTTTTTCTTTGAAGTCATAATGCATCTTGAAATCATTGGCTCTTCTCAGTCACCGTTAGCTGCATAGTTGAGACACAGCTCAGTGTAAAAGCTTTTTGTTGATGTATGTGGCAAGGTGAAGTCCAGTGTCAAAGATCTCAGACCTGATGAAATATGGGGCCATTGTGATCAGTGCATAAATGTTCCATAAGTGAACACCCCAAGTCCACATAGTTCCTAGGGGGATGTGAGCTATTTGTTGGAGAGATATTTTTTGTTTTCCATGTTATAAGTGCTCCTGAACAGTTGATTCCAGTAATACTAATGACCCAACCAAAAAGCAATGCTTGTGTATTTTTTTTTTTTTTTTTTGACAGGCAGAGTGGACAGTGAGAGAGAGAGAGAGAAAGGTCTTCCTTTGCCATTGGTTCACCCTCCAATGGCCGCCGTGGCCGATGTGCTGCGGCCGGCGCACCGCGCTGATCCGAAGCCAGGAGCCAGGTGCTTCTCCTGGTCTCCCATGGGGTGCAGGGCCCAAGCACTTGGGCCATCCTCCACTGCCTTCCCGGGCCACAGCAGAGAGCTGGCCTGGAAGAGGGGCAACCGGGACAGAATCCAGCGCCCTGACAGGGACTAGAACCCAGTGTGCCGGCGCCGCAAGGCAGAGGATTAGCCTAGTGAGCCACGGCGCCGGCCCGCTTGTGTCTTTTTTTAAAAAGATTTATTTTATTTATTTGAAAGACAGAGTTACAGAAAGAGGTAGAGACAGAGAGAGAGGTCTTCCATCCACTGGCTCACTCCCCACTTGGCCACAACGGCCGGAGCTGCGCTGATCCGAAGCCAGGATCTTCTTCCGGGTCTCTCATGTGGGTGCAGGGGCCCAAGGGCTTGATCCATCTTCTACTGCTTTCCCAGGCCATAGCAGAAGGCTGGATCAGAAGAGGAGCAGCTGGGACTAACACCAGCACCCATATGCGATGCCGGCACTTCAGGCCAGGGCTTTAACCCGTTGTGCCACAGCACCAGCCCCAATGCTTGTGTGTTTATATAATTGTGTTGTGTGTGTCTAGCTTCATGTCATGCACAGGTTTTGATTTCAGTAATTTGATAAGCATTTCTTTTATTTATTTATTTATTTTTTTGACAGGCAGAGTGGACAGTGAGAGAGAGAGAGAGAGAGAAAGGTCTTCCTTTACCGCTGGTTCACCCTCCAGTGGCCGCTGCGGCCGGCGCACCACGCTGATCCGAAGACAGGAGCCAGGTGCTTCTCCTGGTCTCCCATGTAGGTGCAGGGCCCAAGGACTTGGGCCATCCTCCATTGCACTCCCAGGCCACAGCAGAGAGCTGGCCTGGAAGAGGGGCAACCGGGACAGAATTCAGCGCCCCGACCGGGATTAGAACCTGGTGTGCCTGTGCTGCAGGCGGAGGATTAGCCTAGTGAGCCACGGCGCCAGCCAATAAGCATTTCTTGAGTTTGTCATGGAGAAAACATAGGTGAATCTGACATGAATTCTGCTTTTAAAAAGTCTTTCACTTTAGAAGGGAGATTAAGACATTCCTACATACTTATAATACAGAACAAAAAGTATCAAGTATGGAATTTATAAAGCAGAACATAGAGGTCAAAACTTGAGTGGAACATAATTGAAAAAAGCTAAAATTGAGTTGCCTACTTGTTGAGTGTTTTCCAAAAATGACCTTTCAGTTGTTTTCAAGAAAATCCATTTAATGCTAAAATATTTTATAAATGCTTAAACTATTTAAAACGAACCTGCAAATCCTTATGCATTTTATGTAGGTTAGTAATATACAAAATAATATATGTTGAAAATTTAAGACTTCTATATTTTTCATATCTTTATTCAAGGATACCCCTATACTTATCCAAAGCAATTTGAAGTGAATTTGTAATTCAGCAGCTTTCATTTGCTCTTTCAGCTTGAAGAACAATCAAAACACATAAGTCAAAAGGAAGATGTGACTGCACTAAAAAAACAAATTTATGATTTATCAATGGTAAGAATCACTTTTTTTTAACCTACACTTCCTGTTAGACAACAAAAACTTAATCGTGCTGCTATGTCACTGTTCCAGGAATAGAAGCTTAAAGAGAAATGAATAGGCCAGTCAGAGAAGGTCTTTAAAATGTCTGTGAGCAAAGGTATTATTTATACTGGGTTTTGGCCTCAGTGATATGCCACCCATTGTGAATGCTGTTGTTTGTTTTTTTATTCAAAGTAATAAAGACTTCCCACGCATTGGTAAATGCCATTCTTATCACCTCAGCTCTTTTGCATCCAGGCTTTTTGCAAAGGATGTAACTGCCCTGCCCTCCTTTCAACTTTTCTATTCCAGCCCATTTTACATCTTCTGCTGACCATATCTTTATTAATTCGGTTGCTGGAGTTGAGAACATTTACATTTGTTTTTTTCTTATTTTCTTTACTTTGATTTTAGATTGATTCCAAAATTTTAAAGTAAGTAATGAACACTTTCTTTTTTATGACCTTTGGTACTAGGTCGTAGGCTTGCATTTCTTCTTCTCCATTCATTTTCCCTCTATGACTCAAAAGAAGGTTCCAGTCTGGTCAAGTGAATTCCCTGTATTCCTTAGCAGTTCCAAATGTTGATGCACCTTAGTTGCCTTAGTATTTGGATCATGACTTCTTAAAGAGTTACTTGGTTTTCTTAGATTTTCTGATTGGGTTATTAGTTTCCGGTTGTTTGAAGAAACCACCAGGGCATGAATTCGGCATAACAGTTGAGATGCCTCATTTATATTGGGGTGTTTGGGTTCAAATCCCTCCTCTACTCCTGGTTGCAGCTTCTTGCTAAGGTATCCCTTAGAGGGCAGCAGGTAATGGCCCAAATACCAGGGGTGCCTACCACCCACATGGAAGCCCTGGGTGGAGTTCTTGTCTCCCTGCTTTGGCTGGCCCAGCCCTGGCTGTTGAGGGCATTCGGGAGGTGAACCAGCAGATGAGAGAAAGTCAGTCTCCGCCCTCCCCCCTCCCAAATAAAGTAAATACATTTTTTTAAAAAAACTGTACTATCTTCATGATATCAGTGATATTTTAAGACTTCTTATTTATTTTTCCCAATTCGTGAAATTTGTTTTATTTTTCTCCCTGGAAATATTAATTTTGAAATCCATGACATTTCAGTTCTTAACAGGGCTGATTGGGACTTGATACCTATATGTCGTCCCTGAACTTATTTTCATTGGGTCTTTCACTGAATTGTAACACTTTTGTGTCACAGTTTTTCTTCTTTTGAGTGTTCATCCTCATTTTGGTATGGTACATTCCTAGGGACATTCTTTGGAAAGGGTATGTGAGAAATAAAATTTCTCAGTTTTTAATATCTGAATATATCTGTATGCCCCTCACGGTTTATTGAAAACTTGTCTATAAAGCCCACTCCTCTGGAATTTGTTCATTTAGGTCTTTGTAGCTCTCTCTCCCTCTCTTTCTATGGTTCTCTCTCTCTCTTGCTCTGTTTTGTTGTTGTTTGTTTGTTTTCTAAATACCTGGCAATCCTTGATGATCTCTGTGATCTGTTCACAGTTTAAAGGGAAAGCTTATATTGGTTATTTTAGGGAACTGGTGTAGGAGTCCCTTGCAACCAGACAAACAACCGGTTTACCTCCAGGCTTCTCCCCTGAGAGGTGTTTTCTTAGAGCTCAGTGTGAAGCTGGCTGTCAGCCCCAGATACAGAACGCATGGGGCAGGGATATTCAGAGAGAAGCTCCGGCTTTCCTTATGGGAGTCATTAATTCCCTTTTAAAACGACAAGCTCTGCCTTGTTGCCTTTGGAGTCGATTCTGGCCGGCTGCTGTTCTTGCTGGGGGAAGGGCCTGGGGAAGTATCTTGGTGTTAGAACTGAAGCTCTGCTTCCGATCCCAGCTCTCTGGGTGCAGCCAGCCGCTTGCTGTCTTCTGTGTTCTGGGGTAGAGCCTTCAGCACACTTTTGGATTTCCCTGGGAGGACATTTCCATCCAGTTTCCATTTTCCAGAAACGTGTCTAAGTCACTTGACTGTTCATCAGCCCCTCTTCCATTAGCATCCATTTCCTTTGGTATTTCAGTGCTAATTCGGTTTCAGAAAGGAGAAAATAAAATCATGTGTTCAGTCTACCACCTTGAACCAGAGGCCTCTAGGGATCTTTTTTTTTTTAAAGAAAAATATAGAAATTTTCTAACATACTAAATTATTTTAAGTGCAAAACTTATAATGTTAAAGTCATAGGATTTATTGTAAAAAAAAACAGTCTATCTTATAATAGCTACTGTTAATTCCACAGATTGTTAAAAATTACTTTTGTAGCTCTCATTAAGTAAAGTAGGTGTTCAAAGGTTTCATCTCAGTTAATTTGCCAAAAAAATTCCTAACGCCTCTATTGTTTGGTGCCTAATGTCAAGTATAAAAAAACTGAAGAATGGCCTTGAGGATGTAGATTTTTGATAATGTAATAACTTATAATAATTTGAAATTACTGTGAATTGACAATCAGTTCTTTGAACAGTAAGATCTGAGGAATAGTGGAAAAGTGGGAGTGATAATGTGGGAGGATCCAGTTCACTTCACTTCATTTCTCCCAGGCTAAAGACACTAAATCTAATATCTTGTACTTCTTCTTTTTTCTAGGAAAATCAGAAAGTTAAAAAAGATCTTTTAGAAGCACAGACAAGCATAGCCTTCCTTCAGAGTGAATTAGACGCTCTGAGAAGTGATTATGCTAACCAGAGTCTGAACTCTGAGAGGTAGGACACTCTGCGTTTTATTTTTCAGTTTGGGTGCAGTGTTGGCTGAGCTGATCATCTGTGTGTATGAATCTCAGTTCTGTAAGATTAAAGGAGCACCCGTTAACTTATTTATGTGGTCTTTACTTTCTATTTTGCTTTCAGTGTCACAATTCCTAGTTCTCTATGTTTTCAATTATTTTAAAGGGACAAATTAATTCGTTTGATTATTGGCTGTTTAGGACAGTGCAGGGCTTGCTTAGTAAAATGGTTGAATTCTCTGGGAGCTAGAAGAATAAACCTAAAATGTCAAGAGTTGGTGCTTATTGAAGCTCCTTGCAGGCAGGAATCCTGACCATAAAACATAAACAAGGGAAAAGGAGATTTGTTAGGCAAGTACTTTTATTTTTTAATTTCTTCATTTTGCAGTATGGTATTAATAACCCCTGCTACATTCACACACACACACATGTATATAATGGATATATACATGGGTGTTTGTAGAGGGACTTATAAGTATAGAACATATAGGCATTTATATATGTGTGTCCCTCAGTACATGTACACTGGGGGGAAATATACGTTTTACTTTTTTTTTTTCCACAAACGTTAATCAGAATTAAGGTCTTATAACAGAAAACAGTAAAACATTTATTAAGTATTTGCTATATACAGGTCCCTGAGCTAGAGAAAGAGTTAGGAGTTTGAAGTAAAAAAAAAAAAAAAAGTGTGGTCTGTGCTTTTTGAAAACTTCAGGTTTATTTGAAAGAAGGAAAGTTACAGACATAAACAGTGTCAGAAATAATATCACCTACAGTGTCACAGCTGGGTTTTATTGGTGTGGTATCACAGAAGAGTTTTCTTTCCATTTAGAAGAGCTGAAGAATTTTTTTAAAAGCGGAGACTTGGGGAACAGGTTTGTGCTGGGCAAGTGGGGAGGAAGCAGCCCTGAGGGCAGCACCAGCAGCAGGAAGCTGGTGGCACTGCCATGGCCAGCAGCTGTGCTCAGCCGGGCAGGTGTAACTCCTTCTGCCCCCAGGACCCTAGGGGAGAGGCACTTCCAGCGTGCACATGTTACACCTGGGGAAACAGAGTCACAGGTGTTCCAGGTGAGGCAACAGCCAAAGCCGGGGCAAGAACATAGGGGAGGCTGAGGCTGGTTTGGAGAGAGGTGGTCAGGCCACTGAACAGAAAGAGAGATTTTGAAGCGGAAGGCAACATGTAAATAAATAAATAGTTGAAACGTTAGTTTAAGACTATAACATAAGGGCCCAGAATTTTTGGTTAAGGAATTTGAACTACAGCCAGTCGAGAAGTTTTAGCTTTACCGTCCAGGGTGCACATGGACAGGTTTTTGTGCACACACTTGGAAGTCTGAGAGTTTTGGAAAGCTGGTGATGGGGTTTGTCTGCTGAGCATGGGGCTTTTGTTCTGAGTGCAGTTTGAGGAAGAGGCCCAGGGCTTCCATAATAAAGCAATAGAGGCAGTAAAACTGGAGTCGCTGGGGATCCCAGAAAGCCTGGTTCTGTGGTTTTTGGGTGAGGTGGGGAGGAAAAGCAGGGGTGAGGTTAAGTTAGGGAAAGGACAGAGAGTCACAGGAAAAGAGAAACCAGGTGCAGTTGAAATCCATGCATACCTTTTAAAATAATACACATTTGTCTTCTGTGTAGGAACTTCAGATTATTTTGGACCAAAATAAACTTATATTTTAATTTGATTTCCATGAACTTTTTAAAGTCGACTCCTGTAAGGCTTGGAGTGGGCAGAGAAGTTCAGAGGAATGAAGGGACCCTATATCACGCCTGCCTGTGGAGAGGGGCATCAGGAGCAGACCTGGGGCTCAGAATTCAGTTCCAGTGAGGAAAATAGCCAGGCCACTGGGTGCTGAATGTGGCAGAGGAGGGTGGAACCCGGCAGGAGGACGCACGGAGTGTGGGTGTGCTTGTGGAGTCTTGGGAGTGGCTGCTGATATCACAGAAGAACAGGGCAGGAGCACAGATGAGGCAGGACCAGGGTCAAGGGCACACATCTTTGAGAAAAGGTGAGCAAGGGCCTGGGAGGTAGGTGCAAGGAAGGCAGGACTTTACACCTGATTCTCATTCAAACATAAAATATAATTTTACAGGGATCTGGAAATAATCCGAGAATACACAGAAGATCGAAATAATCTTGAGAGGCAAATTGAAATACTCCAGTAAGTTCTCATATAAAACCCTCATTACATTTGCATTCCATTTTTCTTTTGTTAATAAAACACATGCCACGTACAACACAGTTGTCCTATTTGGAGTCTGGGTTCACAGGTCAGTGTGTGTTTCTTTCACTACAGTGCCTTCCGTGCATCTGCCAGGTCTGTGATCTTTCTAATCCTAAGTAAATTATCCAAATGCAAGAAATAGTGAGAAGTCTGAAAGTCCTTGCAAGTCTGCTGATGTGTGCAGCCTGTCTGTATTAAGCCTCAGTAAAGAGTAATGGCCCTCATCTCTCAGCTTTCTCTGCTGCTCTTTACGTCAAGAGTCGGCCAGACTTCTCACGTTGGTATGTGTGAGACGTGTGCCTCTGCAGTCATTCTTGAGTTGTTGTCCTACTACGCCACAGTGCCGGCCCCTAGAAGCCTGTTTTTCGTAGGTTTTCTTATTTTCTGGCTATGTAGAAATATTACTCCTGCTCTGTCAACTTCATAATGAAGTCACGAGTCCATGCTCTGAGGGCCTGGCCCGCCCAGCCTCCACCTCCCCATCTACTGTCTTTATTTTCTACCCAGGCAGTATTTTCTTCTTGTTTAAGTTCCTTCGAACCAATCACAGTCAGGCTTGACGGAATTTTTTGTTGTTGTCGTCACCATTTCGAATGCTTCTTAGGCCTCACCTGTGCCAGCTATGGCGTTCAGTTACTGCAACAATCCTGGAATTCTCTTATTCATTCTTTCAGTTAACAGGTTTCTCAGTCAGCACCTTTTTCAGGTCAGGTATTCCAGGAGCCAGGGCAAGAACCACAAGCAGAAGGGGTGGGGGTGTCTTCCTCTGCATGGAACTCATTTGGGGAGGAAAACAAACTGGTCAAGTGTTCAGACATAAATATGCAATGCCAATGGGAGAGGTGAGGTAAAGGAAAGGCACCTGTGCCCTGAGGGAGGCCTTGACCTCTCCAGGAAGGGCATCCATGTGTTCCTGGAGGAAGTGAGGACAGAGCTGAGCTCTGAAGGGTGAAGTGGCCTGAAAAAAGGGAAGATTAGCCGCTCTGTGAGGCCGCAACCCTGCTGTTGTCCTCCCTGTGTAGAAGGGCAGCTCAGGCTCTGAAGGTAACGTGACGCCCAGAACGTCACAAGGAAGCAAGCTCCTGTGTTGGGATCTGAGCCCGAAGTTGAGATCAACACCAACCTGCATACCTGGTACAAGACAGTGCCTGATGGAACAGCACCAGGCCAGGCGTAGCCAGGAGGACAAAGAAAGCATGATGTCACACCGCATCCACGCCGGCTCTCGGGCTCAGGCATCCGGGGGGCTCCCTGAGCTGCTGAGGTCCACAGCATTGCCAATTCATTCCTAAAACACCATGAGGCCTCCAAAGAAAGATAACAGATCAATTAAGTTGTTGTACGTCGAATAAAGAATAGGATCTCGATTTATGAGATTTGAAGGGAAGTGGTAGAAAGTTGCAAAAGGGGGTGAGCAATTCCACCTTCTGAAGGCCGGATGTGGAATAGTAGTGGAGATATTGATCCACATTTACTCATTATCTGTTTCTTTACTCTGCAGAACAGCGAACCGGAAGCTTCATGACAGTAACGATGGTCTTAGGAGTGCCCTTGAAAACAGCTACAGCAAGTTCAACAGATCCTTGGTATACTGTCTCATTTTATGATGCAGTTCAGTCCTTCTAGTACTAGAATAATTTGAAGGGGATAATTTCTTAAAGAATACTTTCACATAGGTCCTTATAATGAGAAGTTCTTTCCATAAAATAGCAAAAGGCAATATTTTTCCAAATTAGAAAAATATGTTACCCTGCTGCAGAAATAAATGCCTCCACATCAACCAAGTCTTTTGTTAGATAGTTTAGAACTAAAGAAAGGTGTATAAAATATGAGCTTTGCCTTGAGTGTTTAATGTCATAGGAAGTTAAGATGTATGCCGGTAGATAGTGTAAGAACAAGTGGAAACGCTCACGGAAGCAGAGCTAAAATATTGCTCACTTGAAAGGAAGGAGAGAGGGACCGGTGCTGTGGCGCAGTGGGTTAAAGCCCTGGCCTGCAGTGCCGGCATCCCATATTGGCGCTGGTTTGAGTCCCGGCAGCTCCACTTCCAATCCAGCTCTCTGCTATGGCCTGGGAATGCAGTAGGAAAAGACCCAAGTGCTTGGGCTCCTGCACCCGCATGGGTGACCTGGAAGAAGCTCCTTGGTTCCTGGATTCAGATAAACTCAGCTCTGGTCATTGTGGCCATTTGGGGAGTGAACCAGCAGATGGAAGACCTCTCTCTCTCTCTGGCTCTACCCCTCTTTGTAACTCTATCTTTCAAACAAATAAAATAAATAAATAAAAAAAGAAAGAAAGAAAGAGAGGGAGGGAGAGAGTGCTTCTGTCTGGTTGATGGATTTAGTCACACTGAATATTCTTTATGGTAGTGATATCATCAGCATAGGAGCTATGGTTTGAAAAGATTTAAGCCCAAGGAAGTTGGTATTCCAGGTTCCTAGCAAATCTGATGAATTAGAGCACTGCTTATTGGAATTTGCAGTAGGGTTTAGACTTAAGATTAGAGAAGAAAGAAGGTCGGTTATCTTTGCCAAAATTTTCCACTTGATTTTCGCGCTTAGTTTTTATCATAATATGCATTTTCTCTGGACTTTTTGAAGATGGTGTGTGTGTGTGTGTGTGTGTGTGAGAGAGAGAGAGAGAGAGAGAGAGAAATGTTTACATGGAATAACAAATAATTGCTTATATATTACAGCGCGTAAATAATATATCACCAGGGAATACAATTTCTAGAAGCAGTCTTAAATTTAATGGTCATTCTCCTCAACCTCTGGGCTATGACAGGTATGTTAACATCTGTTTGTTTTTTAATTTGAATTCTAGATCAAGTAAAAGGGAGGCCAATTTCCATACAGATGAATTAAAATAATGTAATATATTTGGGGCTCTAATTTCTGTTTTCTAGGATCTTACTTCAAAGTTCTGAGACATGAACCATGTAAAAATTAAAGGTAAAAATCCTTCAGAGACAGTAAAGTTTTTTTTAAAAGATATTCTGACGTCATTTGATGCCCCACCATTCCTTTGTTCCCTGATTCCATGTAACAAGACATGGATTCTGTAGGAGATGTTTCAGGGAAGCCCGTGAGGTTACCGCAGATCGTGTGGTACAGGAACTTGAAACTGTTGTCATGGTCTGTAAGTGTCTAAGAGGTCTTGTGAGTTGTGCCCAGGGAAAGGAAACCCTTGAAACAGAAATCTGGCTAGTGGCTATTCACGAGCTACAATGCTGAAGGAGTCACATAGACTTATCAAATGTTAGAATTTAGTACTATTTAATCAATATCAAGTGAAAGATTTGGGGGCTATATTTTGTGAGACCTAGTAACTAACACTTAAAAAGTACTTCTGTGTTTGTGTACGTGTATACACATTTGTCTAGTGTTCCTAGTTAAGTTAATCTTGTAGGATTCTTGAGATTGCAGATGAAAGTGAAAGCGTAAATAAAAGGTTTCCAGCTCTCTATTTCTTTGCAACTTTATGACTCAGTGTTCAAGCAATTTTCATTTGGGTAGATTTGGTATAAACATAATGTGGTTAATATCCTTGTGATAGCAATTGGTCAAGTTGCCATTCCAGAAAGCAAGGCTTATTGGTGATCACTTTTTTTTTTTTTTAATATTTATTTATTTATGGGGGCTGGTGCTGTGGCATAGTGGGTAAAGCTATCGCCTGCAGTGTCGGCCTCCCATATGAGCACCAGTTTGGGTCCCAGCTGCTCCACTTTTGTTCCAGCTCTCTGTTATGGTCTATGAAAGCAGTAGAAGATAGCCCAACTCACCTGGCCTCTGCCCCAACTTGGGAGACCCAGATTGTGGGGAGCAATCCGGACTAGACTAAGTTACTGGAATTAAGACTTATTCTATGCATCTGCTCTCCCCCAATATGGCGTTGGGAGAGAAGTAAACAGCTTCCGCACAGCTGCCTCCAGTTCAACTAATAAACTGTAGGACTTGCTCCTGATTGGAGAGCAGCGTACTCGGCGTGTGGGCAGCCGAGTTAGGATTGGCGGAGGAGGACTATAAAGGAGGAGAGAGACGGCATGCACCAGGAACATCTATGGGGAACATCTAAGGGAACCCGTGCAGCCCCCGAGAAAGCCGGCCGGTGGTGTGCCGCTCCCCTGCGGAAGTGGGGAATGCGGCCAGGGGGAACTGCCCTTCCACGGAGGTGGAAGGGATAGTAGCCAACCCGGGAAGAACCAGCAGCAAACCCGGGGAGGGCCGAGCAGACGAAAGAACAGCGCAGGGTCCTGTGTCGTTCCTCCACGAAGAGGGGGAGCGACATAATGGTGCCGTGACTCGGATATGAAACCTAGGACGGATAGGAAACCTAGGACGGATAGGAAACCTAGGAGGGAAGAAACGGGAAGAAGTGGAAAATTACCGGAGAGAGAGACTAGCGAAGAGCCTAGGGGAAAGCCGGACGAGAAAGGTGCCGGAAGAAGCTATTGAAAGCCTAGGCATAGACTTGGATATGGACTGTGGGAAAGAAGTTAAGACTGAAAGCGAAAGTGAAACCTGGAAGAGGCTTGGACTCGGATACGGACTGTGGGGAGAAGCCAGGAGAAATGAGAGGAATATTGTTGGAAGAAAACTTAGGGAAACACACCGGGTAGAGAAAAATGTTAGAGAGGATGAAGCCGCGAGTGCAGGCCAAGCCATCTTGGAATTCTTCAAGTCACCCCGGGGAGCAAGAGGCGAAGATCTGGAACCAGAGGCAGAGACGTGGGCCGCCAGGATTCGCCAGGTTAGTCCGGGGAACTTGGACTGAATGCCGGTGGTGGCGGAAACATTCGCGAAAGCCGCCGTGTGCAGAGAGAGCACGGGGCGTTGGCGCGAGGCCGTGGTGCAGGCGCGAAGTGCGTGGAGACCGCGGAGCGTGCGCGCAGAGCCGGGAACCCGCCGGCGGGGCGAGGCGCCGGGAAGCCGCGCAGAGCCGTGAAGCCGCCGCGGGGCGGGCGCCGGCGGGGCGAGGCGCCGGGAAGCCGCGCAAAGCCGGGAAGCTGCGCAGATGAGAGAGGCGCGGGCTGAAGCGGCTCAGCCGGGAAGCCGCCGAGAAGCAGCCTCGGGGCGGGCGCAGCCGGGAAGCCGCGGGGATAAGAATGAGAGCGGGAAGCCGCAGGGATAAGAGAAACAGAAGTTTAGAAGTAAAGTGAGAAAAATAGGAATGCTGGAAGATAGAAGTGAAATGGGAGAGGTAGGAATGCCCGGAGATAGAGAAATAGAGAAATAAAAAGGCCTCCCTACAACACTGCAATGTGAGAGCTTGGATTCGGTCTGCCTAATCAAGTGAGGCGATGAGCACCTGCGGGCAGCTAGCAGCTTGTGCGCCGCAGGTCACCGAAGACAGGCACGAATTAACATCAGTAAGGCTTCCCCACAATGCAACAATTAGGAGGCTTGGATTCGGTCTGCCTGATTTAAGGCGGTAAGCGCCAGCAAGCAGCTCGACCAGAGTATGAGCTGCAGGTCACCGAAGATAGGCACGAACCAACACTAATAAGTCTCCCCCACAATACGGCAATGAGAAGGCTTGGATTCGGTTTGCCTGATAGGCTTGTAAGCCCCTGCAAGCAGAGCAGAGCATGCGCTGCAGGGCACCGAACACAGGCACGCATCAGCGCCTAAAAACCTCCTCACAACATGGCGAAGAGAGGACCCGGATTCGGTTTTCCTGATTGATAGGACCTGTAAGAGCCTGTGGCAACTCTAGCAAGTAGAGCAGAGTGTGTGCCGCGGGACACCGAAGACAGGCGCGTATCAACGCTAAAAAATAAAAAGAAAGGGGGATCTGTGGGGAGCAATCCGGACTAGACTAAGTTACTGGAATTAAGACTTATTCTATGCATCTGCTCTCCCCCAATATGGCGTTGGGAGAGAAGTAAACAGCTTCCGCACAGCTGCCTCCAGTTCAACTAATAAACTGTAGGACTTGCTCCTGATTGGAGAGCAGCGTACTCGGCGTGTGGGCAGCCGAGTTAGGATTGGCGGAGGAGGACTATAAAGGAGGAGAGAGACGGCATGCACCAGGAACATCTATGGGGAACATCTAAGGGAACCCGTGCAGCCCCCGAGAAAGCCGGCCGGTGGTGTGCCGCTCCCCTGCGGAAGTGGGGAATGCGGCCAGGGGGAACTGCCCTTCCACGGAGGTGGAAGGGATAGTAGCCAACCCGGGAAGAACCAGCAGCAAACCCGGGGAGGGCCGAGCAGACGAAAGAACAGCGCAGGGTCCTGTGTCGTTCCTCCACGAAGAGGGGGAGCGACACAGATGAAGCTCCTGGCTCCTGGCTTCAGATCAACTCAGCTCTGGCCGTTGCAGCCATGTGGGTAGTGAACCAATGTATTGAAGATAGTTTTCTATTTATTTATTTATTTGAAAGGTAGAGTTACAGAGAGGCAAAGAGAGAGAGAGAGAGAGAGAGAGAGAGAGATGTCTTCCATTTGTTTGTTCACTGGCCAAATGGCCATATAAGCTGGGGCTAGGCCAGGCCAGAGCCAGGAGCCTGGAGCTTCCAGGTCTCCCACATAAGAGCAGGGGCACAAGCAATTGAGCCATTTTCTGCTGCTTTCTCAGACCATAGACAGCTGGAATGGAAATGGAACAGCCAGGTCTCGAACTGGTGCCGCTATAGGATGCTGGTGTTACAGGGGGTGGCTTTACTTGCTATGCCACCAACCCCTGGTGATCTGTTAAATAAAAAACTTTGATGACTTATTGATTTATAGGCAACTGAGCACTCTTGTTATTGAGCAAAATGGATTTTTTAAAATGGGTAGGTGTGATACAATATTTCTGGAGTAATATTGATCAGTTCTAAGCAAATGGGTGGGAAAAGTATATAACTCAAAATTATCTTAAAAATTTCACTATGATGTGTTTTTGAAAAGAGTAGACACCATGAATAAGGCTTGTAAGTACTGAACCACAAGGTCCTTCATGGAAGAGTCTAAGGGCGTCGTCACATCACTAGTTCCTCCGAGTGGCAGGGACCCAGCACTCGCGTGTTCATCATGTTCCACCATGACTAGAGCCCACCGTGGTCTGTGCTGATATTCCTTTCTAGGGGGTGATTAATTCTATATAATTTTGGTGCTAGAATGAAAACTTGAAAATATGTTATACATTTAATTTTCTTGTTTTTATGGCTTTATTTGGTTTTAACTTGCAAATTTGTGTGAGTTTTGTGTTTTTTGAAAGCTCTCTAGTAAAAATATAACTTGTTTTTTATTTAACATAGTTAATTGCCATGGAAATACTCTCAGGGAAGATTTGAATGGCTTACTTTTTAAAAAGGATAAATATTTGAGTTTGCAAGAGTCTGGTTATACTTATATTTTTAATTAAGAGTCAGATATTTATGGGGGTGATCCCTCAAATCAGGATTTCACTCCTTCACTCTTTATTGAGAATACAATTGGATAGCTGGCTTTGTGGTATCATGGACAAAGTCTCCTTCTGTAACACCTGCATCTCATATGTGTGCTGGTTTGTGTCCTGGCTGCTCTACTTCCTGTCCAGCTCCCTGCTGATGGCCTGGGAAAAAACAGCAGAAGATAGTTTAAGTACCTGGGCCTTGTCACCCACGTGGCAGACCTGGATGAAACTTCAGGATCCTGGCTTTGACCTGGCCCAATCCTGGCCATTGCAACCATCTGGAAAGTGAACCTGAACCAACAGAGATCTCTCTCTCTGTCTCTGTGTGTGTCTCCCTCTTTTTCTCTGTAACTCTTTCAAATAAATAAATCTTTTTAAAGAAATGCAGATAGGTTAAGGAGATAAAAGGAGTTTCAATCAGTAATGAACACAGGGAGCTAAAGTGGTTTGTACTCTGAGAATGGTGTTCTTATGTGCCTTACAAACTAACTAATCCATTTCAAATAGGTGCTCCAATATGGGATGCCGGCATTGCAAATTGTAGTGTAACCTGCTTCACCACTGACCCAGTCCCACAAATGTGGTTTTGTCTGAGATGCACATATTCTTATTTATAAATATATTCGAGGCATATTTATTTCTTCTTATTTCTCCCACTTGAAGACCTAGTACCTTGCTGATTCTACCTTTTCCATGTTGCATGCTATTAGGATGATGCAGATGCTAAGTAAGCTATAGCCAGTGTTACTTAAGTATAAACTTGGATTCTTACAAAAACAAAATGGAAAAGCAAATGTAAATGCAATTTCTTTGAATTTTATTGTTTGATGTTAATTTTTCCCTCACTCATAAAATTGCAGTGTCACAAATGCAAGAATCTGTAGTCAGGAGGTCTAGCCTTTGTCTGAGACAGCTCTGGTGAAACATCTCTTCTCTGGGTGTTTCCAGACTATATGTAGACACTGAGTGTCAGAAAATGCGTCTCATTTCAGTACCACACGTTTCCCATTGTTCACCATTTTCACCGAGTGGGTGAGAGACATGACCCCTAGTGGCCGGCGTTATGGAGCAAAAGGTTAAATTTCTGCCTGCAGTGCTGGCATCCCACATGAGCACCGGTTCAAGTCCTGGCTGCTCTGCTTCTGATCCGGCTCCTTCCTAAGGTGCCTGGGGAAGCAGCAGAAGATGCCCAAGTGCAGGAGACCCAACTGGAGTTCAGACTCCTGACTTCAATTGGCCCAGCCCGAGCAGTTGCAGCCAAACCAGCAGATGGAAGACCCTCCCCAGTTACTCTACCTTTCAAATAAATAAATAATATCTTAAAAAAAGTAATATGACCTCCAGAAAAATTTACTACTTGGCTCTATTTTGTCTTGTGCAACCTGAAAGAGAACGGGCTCTTCTACACGTGTCAGCCCTTTAAGTATGTGAAGAGGGAAACCATTCAGACCTAAGTTGACTAACCCGATCCTCATATCCAAGAGTTTTGAGTCTCACACCGTCGTGATTGCCTGTCCCGCCTGGGTTCTTAGCATGCCCTTTGAGGTGTTCTCCGGAAATCTTAATGATTGAGAATGTGATGTGACCCTCCATTAACATTAAAAGGCTCACATACTCTATGTACACGTTTATTAACACAACTTGAGGCTGCACTTACATCTTGGGCACTTTTTCTATGAGGACACAAAGAGGGTGACTTCTAACAGCTTTGTTGAATAACTGTTTGATTTGAGGGCCTTTGAGAGAAAGGTCTTCCTTTGCCGTTGGTTCACCCTCCAATGGCCACCGCGGCCAGCGCGCTGCGGCCGGCGCACCGCGCTGATCCGATGGCAGAAGCCAGGTACTTATCCTGGTCTCCCATGGGGTGCAGGGCCCAAGGACTTGGGCCATCCTCCACTGCACTCCCTGGCCACAGTAGAGAGCTGGCCTGGAAGAGGGGCAACCGGGACAGAATCCGGCGCCCCGACCGGGACTAGAACCCGGTGTGCTGGCGCTGCAAAGCGGAGGATTAGCCTAGTGAGCTACGGCGCCGGCCGCCCCGATGCTTAATCATAGAATCCATCCTGGCTCTCAGCAAAAGTGAGAATTTTGATCTTCCTGACTCCATCCTGGCTCTTGCCTGTCTGTGCAGTCTTGAGATTTGCCAGCCCTCAGGTCAAGCGGTCTCCTCCTCTGTCGCCAGGTCATCCCGCTCCTCCTATATGGATGAGGACTGTGACTCATTGGCCCTCTGCGATCCTATGCACAGGATGAATTGTGAAGTTGACAGCCTGCCTGAGAGCTGTTTCGACAGCGGCTTGTCTACCCTGAGGGATCCCAACGAGTACGACTCAGAGGTGGAATACAAACACCAGCGGGGATTTCAGAGGCCGCACGGGGCGCAGGAGAGCTTTGCGGGTGATGCTTCAGACACAGATGTAAGCTCCAGAAACTACCACGCTCGTAGCCCTTGTCTCTGTTGGAAATCTCTCACCATATTTGACTTTAGTCTGTCATAGAAATCCATTTTAAATGTTATAAATAGGAAGTTCAGTCAGTAGAATTTTTTTTCTACATCAATTAAGAAAAGAACCTCTTACGTAAGTCTACTCCCTAGCAATAATGACGGACTATAGATTCAGCTGTGTGTTTTTTTTTTTTTGTCTCTTTTATCTATGATGTGCATGTGTCATGAGAGACTTTTCTAACTGCTGGCCTTTTTCTTTGTTTTTAATTTAAATAGGTCCCTGATATAAGGGATGAAGAGACATATGGCTCTGAAGGTGTGGCTGCTGTCTTGGACTGGAACTCCCAAGGATCTGTTAGTGAAGGCAGCGTGGTTGGTTCAATAAGAAGACCCATCTCCGCACTTTCACCCCATGTAGGTAGTCTCTGGTAACCCTTACTCATGAACACTTGATTTTCTGTGCCATGTTGTGTTTTCAGGAGCAAACTGGCACCAACTGTGTCACCCACTGTGGCTTTTTCCCCTAGACAGACACGGAGAATGACAGCCCCAGCTTGTCTAGCCCACAGAAGGCTTACAAGATTGTGCTTGCCGGGGACGCCGCGGTGGGGAAGTCCAGTTTCCTCATGAGACTTTGCAAGAATGAATTTCGAGGAAACACCAGTGCCACCCTGGGTATGCTCAATTTCAGTTAATAGTGGGAAAATTACCTTCTTTACATAGGTTTTTTAAGGTTTTATGATCCTGATACAGACAAACATCTCTCTCTCTCACTCTGTATGTGTGAGTGTGCATGTATATACATGTGTGCCTGTGTCTTTATCTGTAGGACTGTCCTCTGTTTTGACCAAGGCTGACTTTAGGAAGGGAAGGACTACAGATCAACCAAACCCAGTTTAGAGGCTGAGATGTCGGATTTATTTATTCTTCATAATTTCCTCAGCCATACTAAAAACCTGATGCTGTTATAGGTGCTAAAATGACCAAATTTCAGCCTACAAGGAACTTACCTCCATATGGAGCAATTAAAAAATGAGGTTTGGGGAGAGACACAGTTTTTACACAGGGTGACCAAAGAAAGCCTTTCTGGTAAGGTATCATTTGATGTTGATAAAGTGACAGTATTGATGGTCGGTTTGTCATGACCCAAGTCATAGCTGAATACAGGCTCCCTTCACAGCAGAATAAGAGAATATGTATGATTCTTTTTTTTTTAAAGATTTATTTATTTATTTATATGAAAGTCAGAGTTACACAGAGAGAGAAGGAGAGGCAGAGAGAGAGAGAGAGAGAGGGAGAGAGAGGTCCTCCATGCACTGGTTCACTCCCTAGTTGGCTGCAATGGCCAGAGCTGAGCCGATCCAAAGCCAGGAGCCTGGAGCTTCCTTCAGGTCTCCCACGTGGGTGCAGGGGCCCAAAGACTTGGGCCATCTTCCACTGCTTTCCCAGGCCACAGCAGAGAGCTGGATCGGAAAAGGAGCAGCCGGGACTCCAACTGGCGCCCCTATGGGATGGCAGCAGTACAGGTGGCGGCTTCACCTGCTATGCCAAAGTGCTGGCCCCATATTATTCTGACTTCACATATTTGTATAATAATCAGTAAAAGAAGCTGAAGATATGAAAATTATCATTTATTTCCTTTACTCTTCTAGAGTTATTTTGATAACTAGAAACGTTGGAACAGATTGCCCTCTTTACAATGAGCGTCTATGTAAATTTATAGTTCTCTGATACACCCTTTGAGATAACAAAGATGAAAGTTCACATCAATTCAACACACAAAAAGACTACAGCATGTTATTTGGTTGCTAAAGGTTATAGCACATATGTTTGTGTACCCATGTTTACACACATGCATTTATATATACACACAAACACATGCACACATACACATAGATTTACCTACATATACATATAATAGTTCATGAAAGGACATAAGTAAAATATAAATTTATTTTGATGCCAAAAAAATTTCTAGATCCATGAATAGTTTTTTCATAATATATGTTTTCCATGAACTTTTTGAAGACCCTGTTTGTATGTGTTTCAAAATCATTTGCACCAAAATAAATTTATCTTTTAATTCTACTTTCTACAATTTTTGATGTACCCTAATAAATACAGATATACACATGCATATTCTTGCATGTAAGCACACACACATATAACTTAGTTTCTCTCTAATCATCTGTAAAAATAGGAATTTTCACTTTAGCCTTAGGTTGGACCCTCCCCCAATTTAAACAACTTGTAGATGGTGCATCTGCACATGATGTGTGATCTGACTTCTACTTACCATTAAAGGCCAGGCTTCATGAAGGTCATGTTTATTCCTCTTTATCTCACTAAGCTCTGGTTCATTGGCTTTGTCTCATCCGAGGACAGCTTACACATACAATCCCATGGATTATTTATCTCATGTTCTCCACTCTCATATTCCTTTTCAGGAGTTGATTTCCAAATGAAAACTCTCTTTGTAGATGGAGAGCGAACAGTTCTGCAACTCTGGGACACAGCTGGTCAGGAGAGGCAAGTGCTTGAACAACTCTTCAAACTCTGCTTAGGTTTGCATAGACAAGACTTGCAGGGCACTTAGTGTTTTTGTACTAAATAATTATATAAAGTTAAGATACTTTATACATAAAATTGTTTACATATTATAATTTCATGAATACTAATATTTGTCTACATCCTCTTCTTCATTTCTGTGTCAGTTGTGGGAGAAGATGTTTGTGCTTCCTTTGAACTGAAGTTTGCTTGGTACGAAGAGTATTCTTTACTAATGCCCAAATTTAGATGAGGGAACACTCCCAGTGCAGTAATGGCGTGAGGGCTATGAGGGCTACTTAGCTGTGCAACTGTAAATGGTGGAGAAGAGAATCCATGCGCTCTCCTCGGCCAGGGTAGAGGTGCAAATCTACCAGCAGACTCACATATGGTGAAATTACCTTATCTCACATTCATTGCCCATGAGCATAGTTAGAAACAGGTTCTAATATTGTCTGGCTCATTGGGAACCGAATGTATTCAGTCATTTGACAGAAGTATGGGATTGTCTGCCACTGTAGCAGGCACTCTTCTGTGTTGTAAGATGAAAACGTGAACTAATGGACACAAATACCTTCCCTCATGGAGGTTATAATCTCTAGCAGACTGGGAGTTCCATCATTTAAAAATATTTGTGGTTGACATGGCCTTATTTAAGCACTCATAACCCATTTTCCACTTGGTGTAGAGTGAAGGCATGTGTGCTGAGATGTGCTTTTTCCCCCAGAGGTTCCTTCTACCCCATGAGTGAAATTCTGGCACACTGTGGTGTTGGATGTTGTCAGTTCTTTCACATAACCAAAATAGTCCCTACCCACTGCCCTAGAAACAATTTTTCTCAAATGTGCTTTCCTCCCAGCTTCCTCTTGGTCCAACAGTGGGTTCTGGTAGCTTTTTGCTGAGGTTGAAATTTCTAGAACTTATGCCCTACACCCTGTCCTGGTGGTTTTTTGGGGATTGTAGACGTTCTTGAGATTGTGGAGAAAATGACTGACTTTTCCAGATCAGTCACCCAGATTTCCATCCTGTTAACTTTCACTGGGCCATTCAAGGCCTTGGAGATGGCAGTGTTTTGGCAATATTTTGTGTTAGATTCTTCTCCATTGGGACTGGCATCAGAAGAAATCAATTGGGACTGACTTTGAGAGGAAAGGATGAGGAAGAAGATGCTCATAAGAGACGGGGAATGAGGCTGTATGGAGCAGACTGACCAGCTCTGTCCTTTTCTGTACCCAGATTCAGAAGCATTGCCAAATCTTACTTCAGAAGAGCCGACGGTGTTTTGCTGCTGTATGACGTTACATGTGAGAAGAGCTTTCTTAATGTACGGGAATGGATAGACATGATTGCGGTAAGGAACCAAAACAGAGAACTGGACAGTTACACGGGAGCGGGATAGCTCATCTCAGAAAATGCTGCTGCTTGTCTCTGTCAAGGTGAACTTGATTAGAGGCCAGCAACTGAAACTGTCAGGACGAACTGGATGCTAGAGGCTGTTTCCAAAGGCAGTTGGCAGCTATGGCCTCTTCCTTGGGAGTTGCACAAGTTCCCCCAAAGGACACTGTGGAAGAGGGCTTCTGAGAATAAAACCTCTGGATTTTCTTATAGATAAAATCAGAACCCCATGGTGAGCAAGTGCAAAGCCAGGTTATTTAAAAACAAGAAGCTTTTACGAGCAAGGAGGTGGTGTGGTTGGTGTTTAGTATGATTGCATGTACACGGGGCATGGACATGTGGGTCTTTAGATATCTTAGGGTACCCCTGAAATGCCAGTTGGCATTTCCAACATGTAGCATATCATCTGTGATTTCTTTGCCTAAATAAGGTGGTATCTTCCATCTGGAGATGCTTTCATATCCCTTGATTTCATGGTAAGCTAATTTTAAAGGTAGGAAATTATTTTAACCACATTTAGAATGCTGCCAAAGGTTTTTGATCAGTAGAAATCTACAGTTTGAGCTATTGTTAGCAGACTCTCTTGAAAACTAAACCAGTGGCTAATACAATTTTTGCAATAAGTATGTTTTTTATAATTTTAAACAGGCATTATATAATAGTAGTGACTAAACAGCACAGTTTTCGTTTACTCTCAAGTTGATCTCTGGAATAAATATTCTTTTTCTGACTACAGAAGTAATGTGGAAAATGACTGCAATTGGCAATAAGACTTTGACAATATCAATATCAACCTATCAATATCAATATCATCAATATCAGTGTCTTACAGTGACTGTGAAAATAGTAGAAATGTATTATTTATGTTACATTTTTACTTCACAAAATTTTCTGTCATATTCATCTATAACATCTGAGAAAGGAAGTAAGAGACATTATTTTCACCTTTCATTAGAAAACTAAGACCTACCAAGTATGAGGCACTTGCTTGTAGAAATTTAGTGGTTAGAATGGGTGCTCAAATGGACTTCCTTCATCAACACTGGCTGCTACTGCAATAAAGCACCAAAGTGAGCAGTAAATTAACACACAAATTTGTGTCAGGAAAGGAATTCCAAAGTTCAAATAGTGCATGGAGTAGAGGCTTAAAGGAGTAAGTGCAGCTCTCTGGACTAGAGCAGTAAGTCCAGAGAGCAATGGACAATCCCAGCTGACTCATACACACTGATATTTAAGATCTCCAGAAAAACTTTTTATTGTTGAAGTTTTGAACTTAGCCTTCATTTTAAAATCTTTTAGCTTATGCTCAAGAAAAGGAAGCACAAAAGGCAAGATCAGCCACAGTGAGATATGATAGTACTTGAAAAAGTTCATGGAAAATAGAATTAAAATGTTTATTATGCTGTAATTTCATTCTGTGCATTTTCTGTGAACTTTTTTTTTTTTTTTTTTGACAGGCAGAGTGGACAGTGAGAGAGAGAGAGACAGAGAGAAAGGTCTTCCTTTGCCGTTGGTTCACCCTCCAGTGGCCGCCGCGGCCAGCGCGCTGCTGCCAGCGCACCACGCTGATCCGATGGCAGGAGCCAGGTGCTTCTCCTGGTCTCCCATGGGGTGCAGGGCCCAAGCACTTGGGCCATCCTCCACTGCACTCCCTGGCCACAGCAGAAAGCTGGCCTGGAAGAGGGGCAACCGGGACAGAATCCGGCGCCCCGACCGGGACTAGAACCCGGTGTGCCGGCGCCGCAAGGCAGAGGATTAGCCTAGTGAGCCGCGGCGCCGGCTTTCTGTGAACTTTTGAAGACTTCTCATAGCCCTTACATTAAGTTGTCAGCCATAGCGTGTGCCAGGACGTCCACTGCCGTAATTGGCTAAGCACCTGCATGTTGTGAGTCACCTTTTCAGCGTGGCTACCACCTTTCCATAGGGTCTGGAAAGGTAGAAGAGGTATTCAAGATGACTTTTTGAATTAGTTATGGTAGACAAATTAGGTAGCATGTGGCATCTGCCTTTTACTTTGCAAAATAAAAAAGAGAGAGAGAACACAATGAAGCTTCTCTAAGTCTCACTTTTGAATTCTGATGAGATCCTGTAGGGAAGATTGACAGTTTACAGTAGATATGGCTGGAAACAAATCTTGGGCAGTCGGCCGGAGGATTGATAAACAGTAGAATGTCCATGGTGAATGGATGGTGGGAATTAATCATTGTACACTTTGATCCAAAACTGCTGGGTTACAAAGTCTTGTACTAGAATTATGAATTAAATAGAGTTGTGGCCATTTACTTACTGTAATGACTATTTTGTTGTTTGAATAGTTAGGTAGAACCTAAATGGTGACAGTTGAGATAAAAGATCTCGTCCTAACTTTTACACAATCAAAAATATTTTTGAGTGACTCCACTGCATTTACTCTTCTATGTACTTGAGATGTATCTGTTAATAGAAATAAGAGCCCTGGCCTTATAGAGCTTGTATTGTAGTGCAGAAAGCAGATTTAAAGCAACAAACAAATAAATGAAACAAATGCTGGAAAGTATTTAGTGTTCAATAGTGAGGTGGAGGTGTTACTTAGGCCACAACGTGCAGGAGATTCCAATATTACCTATATGACCTGTGGTGAGTCATTTAGAGGCTCACGCTCTTGGCTTACTTAAGTGAATGTTTTGTCATTGGCTTCTAAATCTTGCCTCCTTGAATCCTGACATCACCAAAGAGCACAATTAATGAACACATTAATGGGTGGACCCAGGAATTTTTGGGAGAGCCTTTCATTCTCTTCTCCCTTTGACTACAGTGAAAGGAACACTGTCTGAAGAGAAAGGAAGTCAAGTTCAATTTCATTTTAAGCCTTGTTTCCTTGTTTTTAAAGATTATTTATTTATTTGAAAAGCAAAGTTACAGTGAGAGAGAGAGAGAGATCTTCCATCCTTTGGTTCACTCCCTAAATGGCCACAATGGCCAGAGCTGGGCAGGTCTAAAGCCAGGAGCTTCATCCAGGTCTCCCATGAGGGTACAGGGGCCCCAAGCATTTGGGTCATCTTCCACTACTTTCCCAGGCACACTAGCAGGGAGCTGGATCAGAAGTGGAGCAGCCAGGACTTGAAACAATGCCCACATGGGATGCCAGCATCACAGGCGGCAGCTTTACTTGCTATGCCATGGTGCCAACCACAGCCTCATTTCTTGTCATCGTGGAAGTCCCAAACTGAGTGAGCAGCAGCTGTCTGTAGGCTCCCTGAGACTAGTTCTCACATATGTCAATCAGGGCTGCTGCCAGTCCTATTTAGGAACTAGACAAACATTGATCTTTAGGATTTCTGCATTTTGCTTTTGTTGTAAACCAAAGAGCAATGAACATGGAACTTTTTAAAAGATTTACTTATTTATTTATTTGAAAGGCAGAGTTACGAAGAGAGGGAGAGAGAGAGATAGAGAATCTTCCATCTGCTGATTCACCCCAAAATGGCCACAACTGTCAGGACTGGTCCGGGCTGAAGCCAGGAGCTCAGAACTCTATCTGGTTCTCCCACATGGATGGCAAGTTCCTAAACACTGGGGCCACCTTCCATTGCTTTCCCAAGAGCATTGGCAGGAAGTTGGATCAGAAGTGGAGCAGCCAGGACTCGCTCGAACCTTTGCTCATATGGGATACTGGCCTCACTGGCTGAGGCTTAACTCATTATACCACCAAGGCAGCCCCATGTTGTGGAACTTCTGAACTACATTTTTGTTCCACAGTGGTGGAAAAATTATCTGTGCGTTTTATGCCTGGGTTAGTGACATTGACTTGTAATCATTGTTGTTTGAAATAAAAGTATAAGGTAGAAAATTGTGTGGGTACTACAGCCAAATAGAACTCTGAGGTCATGTTTCTTAATTTATGTTAGTTTGTATTTGTGTGCTAGAGATAAGAAATTAGTAAATACCAATTTTCCTTTGCATAAAATGGACTTATCCCAGTACCTGCTCTCTTGTCATTAATGTGAGGATGGAACCTTGCCTGAGTAGCATGGTTATGGAGTTAGTGTGGGACCAGGCCCTGGTCCTTACACTTTTTTATTTAATTTCTCTGAATTCCATTTTCTCACCTATGAATAGGAGGACAGTATGGGGATGTTTAGAGATATTTTGAGACTTAAAGATATAATCTTCAATATAATGTAAATAATTCTGTTATTATAGTTGATGGCAAGACTTTGACAAGGATGAATAAGACACCTTGTTCTACAGAAATAAGACTTACAGTAGTAATGAAAGTGCTAGCATTTATGTGACGTGTTCACTTCACCAAGTGTGGAATCCATCGTTTTGCACACAAGGGACACTTGGAAAATGGTAACTGCTGCTGCCCTAGTTGTCCTCGTCATGATCTCCATGTGGCCCATGTTTGTTTGTTTGTTTTGTTTCTTCATGGAAGGATGCAGCCCATGAGATGATCCCTATCATGCTGGTGGGAAACAAGGCTGACCTTCGAGACTCCGCTTCTGCAGAGGGGCAACAGTGTGTCTCAGGATACTTTGGAGAAAAGCTGGCCATGGTGAGCATGAGGGTGGTCTGAACTGGGAGGGACTGTGGGGGTGCAATGACTTTGGAGTCAATGCCCTTCCCCTTTTGTGTACCTTTGCTTGAGAGAGTCTCCGTCGAACCTCCTCACCGTTTGATGAGGCACAGTGCCCCTCACGCAGCAGAGCTCCCAGCGCCCTCCTCTTGAGTGTGATCGATTCCCCCTTAAAGGAAAACATTCACATGCTCAATTTGACCTCCACTGAGCGTCACTGCAAAGAGGAGTGGGAATAATCCTGTCCTCATCCTCCTCCCTCTAACCCAGTTCCTGGAATCCTTCTCTAGTCCTGAAGTCCAGGTAGAGGAAAATGAACGGAAGTCCTGTTCTGAAAAGGTGTGCTTGACCCCAGGGGTTACCGTACCAGGGGGCAGGAGATGGAACAGGGCCTCACCTGGGTGAAAGGGAATCAGAAGACTTTTTTCTTGAAGATTTGTGCTTATTTAAAATAGTCTAAAGTTAATTTGGGTTATGCGTGTAAAAGGGATGAAGTACAATCCTGTCCAGGTTGTTACTGTGGGCCGTGTTTGCTCCTGTATACTGTCATCCTGTCAGGATGTAGTGTAGCCCTCCTATGAGTTGACCTGTGCAAGGAATCAGAGGCACCTTGGGCCAAGCAAGTTCACCCTGTCCCGGTCAGATCTGATGGTGGTGTTGTAGGTCATCAGCACCATGAAAGAACTATTCTGTAGCATATGTGTGTGAACTTTAAGTTTTACTGTTTTAAGTTGGAAAGTCTTGTTTTAAATTTTAAAATTGCTAACTGGATGTGATAATCTTCAAAACTGGACAGTGAAATATGGAAGAGATTCATTTAACATACATGAAGTTGTATCTGCCATGTGGCAAACACTTCATTATGCGCCAAGCAAAACAGTCTTTGCCATCTCATAGTTTACTGTCTGGCGGAGACAGACAGGAAACTCGTGTAACCCACATGCCCAACGCTGCCCCACACTAGCAGAGCCCCAGGGTTTGCTTGCTTATGCATCTCAGGACCTCCACCCCCCCTGCATCCTCAGAGGCAGGCTCTGTTTTATCGGTAACATCCAGATTATAGAGTAAGCACCAGCTGCTGCTGTTTCTACTAGACAATATGTTCATTTTCGGTTTCTATAGATATTCTATGAGTTGGGGTCTCCTGGATATTTACCCCCTTAGGGAGTCTTCCCATGTCTGCTTCTTTCTCTCCCTGCTCCAGAGAAATCATCTAATGCTACCCTTGTCCCACACAAGGTTGTTTAAAGCCCACACCCAATGACACAGTGCACTCAGTTCTCCTTGCTTAAAAAGAAAACGTCTTCAATTTGTTAGACAAAGACACACAAAGGTAACTTCGGCAGTTGCAACAGTAGCAAGAACAATTCAGGAAAAATACAGAGTGCCGTGAGGTTTTCTAAGAAGACCTAGTAAAGACTTCTCAGGGTTTGAAAAGTGTGAATCTGAACTTCAAGGAAGGATTTCCTAAAAATTCAAACTGTAAAGTAGAAGCTGTAGGAAGTAGTTAGCCTGGTGAAGGTGGTGGAGGAAGTAGGGGGCAGCCTAGGTAATGGGGAGAGCAGGTGCAAGGTCCTGAGTTCAGAGGGAATTGGGAGCACTGCAGGGTAACAGGGGCTTTACAGCTGCAGGGGAATGGTGGGAGGTTAACTGGGGCCACAACAAACTGGGCCGTGTTAGCCATGGAAAAATCATTTAAACGTTACCTAAAGAAGAGCCAGGAGTCACTGAAAGATGAAACTTGTATAACTTAAATATATAATTAAAAAAAGGTTTGGAAGAAGGAGAATGATCTGATCAGTGATCATATTCATAACCACTGGGAGGTTATATTAGAGGACTAGAAAACGCGTGTTAATTTTAGTGAGACACAGGATGTCAAATTCTGGTAGGAAAGATAATGGTGTGAAATAGGATGTTCCTGACCTGCCGGCCAAAAAGAAACGTCCCTTTGATTGACATCAAACTCCTGAGTGGTTACCTTCCGCCATCATCTTTGTCTCTCTCAAATTATTTGATGGAATTTGATAGCATGTGTGTGAAAGCTGGAAATAAAACCTCGAAGCATGAAATATGTGTTGTTTTAATGCAGAGTAAAAATTTGTAGGACTTATTTCTAGAAGAACTACATTCAGAGATTTAAGTATTGAAACTCTGACTTTAAATCCTTAACTGTTAGTCTCTCAGCATGCTAAAGGGAACGTATATTTTATTTTATCTTACTGATTTGAAATTCCAGGAATTGCAAGTTAAAGGCTCTGTTTAATTGTGTGCATTCCTTTTCCACAGACCTATGGTGCCTTATTCTGTGAAACAAGTGCCAAAGATGGTTCCAATGTGGTGGAAGCTGTTCTACATCTTGCTCGGTAAAGTCTGGCCTTGTATTTGGAAAACTGGAATGTGAGATTGCATTTTTACCTAGGTAGCGCATAGGTCAAATTTCTTGACCAGATCGCATAGGTAGAATATACTGGTACTTCAAAAGCTTTATGGGAAAGGAGTTAAAAGGTAAGAATAGGGATGGACACACATTTGGCATAACACTGAAGATGCCACTTGTGGTCACTGCAGTGTTGGGGCTGAGTCCTGGCTCTGCTTCCAGTTCCAGCTTTCTGCTCATGCGCAGCCTGCAGATGGCAGATTGAGTTCTCGGTTCCCAGTTTTGGCTGGGCCCAGTCCTAGCTGTTATGGGCATTTGGGGAGTGAACCACTACATGCAGATCTCTCTATGTATGTATATTGATCTGTCTATATGTCTTTCTCTGGGTGTATCTCTGCCTTTCGAATAAATAACTTCCTAAAACTAAAATAAAAGTCAAGTTTACTTTGGTACTTTTTTTTAAATCCATGTATAGCTTTTTTATAATATGTATTGTCCCTGAACTTTTTGATGATTCATGTACAGGGATCTCAAAAGTTTTGCAAGGCAATCAACTTATCTTTTAATTCCATTTTCTATGAACTTTTTGAGGTGCCCATGTACAACAGGAAATATATAGCCATGAAGCAGATATGCATGGATATGATAAAAGCTGGTAATGCTGCCTGTTCTCTTTGAACAGTGGCAAAATATCTTCTCTGCCAAACAAAACAGGTGCATCCAAAGTGCCATTGACATTTCTGGAAAATGTCACCACAAAGCTAATAGTTGACTTATAGGAGTTATTTTCAGGAACCAGATTTTAAACACTAGAGACTATTGTGGATACAGCTCTTGTGACCTTATCCTGGGTTTAAGAAAAGTGGTGTAGTGGGTCAGTGTCAAAATGAGTAGTACCTAGGTAATTATTATGTTGATAGTGGTGTTATTAAATAATAAATAACATTTTGGAATACAGATTAGAATACGAATTATGTTATTTAAGGAGTTGAATATAAATATTCATGTTTTAATTCTTAAAGTGTTCTAGGAAATAACAATGTTATTGTTAGATTTATTGCTTCTGTGTAGTTTTTGCAACAAATGAAAAAATGATCCTTTACTGTACTACAGGGATTAAATATCAAAAACAAAAAAAGGAAAAATCAAAATGGACAGTCATAAAATTTGTGACAATGATCTCCAGTTGCAAACAAAGCAAAAACATAATTTTAAATGTGCAATTATATTTTTGAGTACTTGTGAGATTTTATAAGAATCTTTTGTGTGATAATTGACCTGTTCAGCTAGTAAACATTGACAGTTATGGTGGTATTTTCAATGCTGGTTTTGAATTAGTGACTTGGTATTTATAGTGCCTAATAGACCAATGTTCTGTTAGTGGAATGTTTGGACTAGAGATTTGGGATTTTTGCCTTCATCTGAGGGGATTGAGAAACAGGTGTCAGGACTTTTGGTGACTTGCTTGGTACTTGTTTGTGGCAGGGCTTGGCAGATGACCTAGGCTAATATCCAGTGCCTTTGAACATCTTTCCCTTTGACATCAGTCCAAGTATGATACCTCCCACCCCCCATCCACTTCCCCATAACACCAGAAATCCTCTGTGTAAAGCAGAAACTTTGTTTCCTACAACAGGTAGGAAAAAAGAAAATATTTAAACATGTTTAGATTCAAATAATTACATGTTCTGTGGCTTGTGATTGTTAAGGAAATAATGAATTAATATCACATTTGGCAAAAAAAGTCCCTGAGTAAAACTTTTATGTGCGGGTACTTCAAATAGTTAGTGGAAAATGGAATTAAAAGATAAGCTTATTTTGGGGACAAAAAGTTGAAATTCATGTGACTGTAGGGTGGGTCAGATAATGTAATCTGCCACTTTGCAGTTCTTAGGGAATATAAATTACTTTGGTCAGAAAGCTACATTCAATAAAGGGGGAATAGTTACATGAAATTCAGTGTTTGACTTTACTAAAGGTAGATGTTTGGTGTTGGTGTTTCATGAGTATATACCTGAGGATTCTTGGATGGAGGTGATGTAGCTGACAGAGAGCCTAGGAATGGGGAAGGCCCTGCGGGTCTTTAGAGAATCCTTGGGCCCAAGGTTCAACACAGTGTCAGTGCTGCCTTAGCCTTGTTCAGTGGAGTGCTGAATTGATGCTCCCACAAGCTGGGAAGGATGTGGTAGGGTCAGCCTTTATACAAAGAGAATATCTATAATCCCCAAATCCAATAGTGTTGCAAAATCCAAAACTTTTTGAGTACAGATGTACACTGAAAAAGTTTGAGTATATGTGCGTGTGGGGGGATTGAGGGTGGGCAGGCTTAGGAGTTTTGGCATGGTGATTAAGATGCCCACATCCCAGTGGTGCTGGGTTAAATACTTGACTCTGGCCATTGCAGACTCTGGGAGGTGCCTTCTGATGGCTCAAGTAGTTGGATCCCTGCCACTCTTGTGGTAGACCTGGATTGAGTTCTAGCTCAATCCAATATTGGCTGTTATATTCATTTGGAGAGTGAGCCAGTGGGAGAGATCTTGGGCTCTCTCACTCTCTCTTTCTCTCTCTCTCATAATTTTTTAAAACTTAATTAAGCATTTGGAACACTTCGAACTTTTGATTTTTGGATTAGGGATACTCAGCTGGTAAAGTCTATGCAATTATTCCAAAAATCTGGAAAACACAGATATATGAAAAACTTCTAGTCCCAAGCATTTCAGATAAGAGATACTCATTTTGCACCAGGCAGGGTGCTTCAAAATGTTTGTGGAAAAATCAAATTAAATGATGTTTATTTTATTGCAAAACAATTTTTAAATGCATGTGTAGTTTTTTCATAATACCAATTTTTCATGAACTTTTTGAAGGCTCTTCATCTGCATGGATTTCAAACATTTTTTCCACCAAGCAGACATCTTAAATTCTGTTTTCCATAACCTTTTTGAAGTCCCTTCATATGTGAGCACAGCTGCTGCCCAGAATATTGAAGGATTGTGACATAAGGAGAGTTGAAGTTCTTTCTTGAATCTACTCCTAAATAGCTAAGGAGCCTTCAATAAGCTCCTGTCTCTCTTTAGGCACCTGAAATCTTTCCAATGAGGAAGAGGGTTGAATAAAATGATCTCAGATATCCTTTCTAATAGTCTGAGATTCTATCCATGAGGGGACTTCAGAAAGTTATTGGAAAATGGAATGGAAAGATGTTTATTTAGGTGAAAAAATTTTGAAAAAACATGCAGCTTTTTTCTCCTTCTCTCCTCCCTCACTTACTTTCTTTCTTCCTTCATCCCTTCCTTGTTCAGTAAGTATGCTAGCAAGTTTGATGAAGAGAGTACACCTGACAGGCCAGGGGACCATCTTTGTAAGGAACTGAGAGTTTGTACTATGACTGGAGTTTTCATGGATATGAGTATGGACTCTCCATTTCTTCTCTCCCATCCCTGTGGGAGATATCCCTGGGTGAAGGGCATCCTGCGTGTGGAATTCCTGAAATTCCTCCCAGAACTTCATAGTGAACCTCATAGCCTCTTCAGTGTGGGACTGGGAAGTTTCCCATAAGGTGTCCCTGGGAGAGGGCTGGAACCCACCAAACAAGGGTATGCAACAAGGGCAAGACTTTTGATGTCTAAATACTGGTCTGTTTCCAAGGCTTGCTGTTTTTTTTTTCATTTTTTTAATATTTTTTTTATTTTTTGACAGGCAGAGTGGACAGTGCGAGAGAGAGACAGAGAGAAAGGTCTTCCTTTGCTGTTGGTTCACCCTCCAATGGCTGCCGCGGCCAGCGTGCTGTGGCCGGCACACCGCGCTGATCCAATGGCAGGAGCAGGTACTTATCCTGGTCTCCCATGGGGTGCAGGGTCCAAGCACTTGGGCCATCCTCCACTGCACTCCCGGGCCACAGCAGAGAGCTGGCCTGGAAGAGGGGCAACCGGGACAGAATCTGGCGCCCCGAGCGGGACTAGAACCCGGTGTGCCGGCGCCGCTAGGCGGAGGATTAGCCTAGTGAGCCATGGCGCCGGCCAAGGCTTGCTTCTACATTTTCCCTCATTCCACTGCACAAAATAAATTCCCTTTTCTTCAAAAACTTTGGATTTTCTTCAGCCCCTCTTACACACATAGGCTAATGCCTACCTAGCTACCTTACCATTCTCCCCTCAAGAGAAGTGACCCGTAATCTTATGGGAGTAGCATGGGTGAAAGGCCATCTTCTGTATTTTCTTTGACCTGGCACTGGGGTGTGGAGCTGCTTGTGGGTTTTCTTCTCTTGCTGTCTGTCCTGTGGTACTTGAGATAGCCTTGGAAAAGATTGTCCTGCATAGTCCAGAGGACTGGGCATGTTGTCCAATGCGATAAGCTGGAAGCCCTGCCTCACAACTTTCTGGAGCTGGACAGCTTTTATTCTTTAGAGACAAAATGAACCAGTGCAGGGCCAACACTGTGGCTCAGTGGGTTAAAGCCCCCACCTGCAGTGCCGGCATCCCATATGTGTATGGTTCGAGTCCTGGCTGCTCCTCTTCCAATCCAGCTATTTGCTATGTCCTGGGAAAGCAGTGGAAGATGGCCCAGATCCTTGGGCCGCTGAACCCGCATGGGAGACCTGGAAGAAGCTCCTGGCTACTGGCTTCTGATCAGCTCAGCTCTGGCCATTGTTATTTGGGAAGTGAACCAGCAGATGGAAGACATTTATTTCTCTCTCTGACTCTACCTTTCTCTGTAACTCTGTCTTTCAAATAAATAAAATAAATCTTTAAAAAAATGAACCAGTACATTAAAGACATTTGGTATAAAGAGACGCAGTAAGATAATGAGAGCTATCGAGCCAAAAAGAGACAACAACCAGGATTTCCATGACCCAGTGCTAAGCCAGAAATTCCAGCTCTGTTGGACCCTGTTTGTCTGACCTCATTCAGGAAATGCTGAATACAGTTTTATATCTGTCTAGTTGGATTGACCAAAATCAACAGTCTTGAAGCATGTCACAGACAC